TCCGATAAATAATCTAAATTATCAATTGGCAAGGTGTAAGAACGCACGTCGATATTTTTCAATTTCACTATCAATCGTCTATGCGCTATTACACCGCGCTTTAAGCGCTAATACGATCGAGGCGCTTGTAAATACGGAGCGCCGATAATCGATTGTACGTTTATTGGTTGCACCGATAATCCAGATTGCCCTTAATCCGTGTATTCGGATGTTCGGAAATACGCTCGCGAAAGGACTCCGATTGTAAGCAATATTTTACTGTAATCGCGGTTATATCTTCTATCGTTTTCAAACTGAAAACACGCGGAGGCGTTCGCGGTTCAAAAATATGGAAAGGCCACGGAACCGTGTTATCTATCCGATTAATTTCGTCTGTAAAGAACAGGAAATTGAATTTCCATTTAATAGTCGATAAAAGTTTGCAAAAAAAAAAAAGAAAAAAAAGATAGCAAGAGACAGCCATCATCGTCATGAATATCGTAGCAAATTAATCCGAGCCGAATTGCAATGTGTTGGAAATACGAGATTAAATCTCTTGTTCTAATTCTCTCTCTCTCTCTCGCGAATATACACAGAGTGAAATATTTAAACTCGAACAATTTGCAAAAGTCATAGTTCAAGTGAAGCGTTTGCAAACAAATTAATCTATTTAGAGAGACGAGTGCAAATACGATTATCGTTCCGAAAAATCGTTTTGTGTTTAAAAGCCGGGGAAATATGTAAACGCATAAAGAGCATAAACACATTCCTTTGAATTATGCGACTATCAATATCGACGCGTGAAGTTTATCACGATGGTAGCAGAGTGATTTAATGAGCGATGCTTCAAATTTGCCCGTGCCAAGATCGGAGTATCTTCAAATACCTTCTGTGCCTCGACGAACCAAGACTTTAACGACGCTGAAATTTATCGGCGCGAGATATTTATTACAATTCCCACACGAGCTTATGCTCGTTTAGAAACATCTCGTTCATCCGCCACTTGCCGCGCGACATTCGCAGTTGCGTTGCAACCGGGAACGCTCTAGATCTTGACCGCGTTTGCTCGCGGTGCGACGCGAAACAGTTCGCGCGAATGATATATCGCGGGAATTAATCGTAAATCACGACGAGCGTGATGACACCAATTATTTATGCCGCTGGCTGGAAGCGAGCCTCGGCGCGATGACTTTCCTCGAACCTCTGCGCGTCATAAACGTTTAATTTGCATTTAATATCGCGGTTGCGGAGTTGTATTTGCGCAGTTGCACTAAACAACCGGAGCCTGTTCAAAATATTGCCGTTTACGGTCGCGCGAGCATTGCAGCGACATTGCAGTAGCGAGCGAGCGGGCGGGTAAACACCGGCTATGAATAAACCGTCGCTGTCGTCGGAATCTGTTATTACTCATTGCTTGCCGAGACCTTGTCAAAAAGAAAGAGAGAGAGAGAGAGAGAGAAGAAAAAAAATACACGACAACGCAAGAAAACGCAATGAAAACAAGTAGTTATTTCGAAATCGAGATATCAGACTGCAAATTTCTAATGTTAAGTTTCATGTTTTGTGTGCCGGGATTTATGAGTCGACAGCGCACGAACAGCGAGTGGGGGAGTCCCGAAAATTGACAGTCGCATACACACGCGAATGCATATTTGAAATGATGTTTAACATGAGTAAACAGATTCTACGTTCACGTTCCCGCGATCGTTGAAAATTCGTCGTTATGTAGGCTCTGCGATGGACCCGACACCCGTAAACAATCGTCGGCGCCAAAATTCACCGATGACTCGGCGCATCTCTGCCCGCCCACGCGATCGCACGTCCATACTAATCGGCTATGCAAATACACAGCTCCCGCGCGGCTCTCTCTTACTCTCTCTCTCTCTCTCTCTCTCTCTCTCTCTCTTTCTCTTTCTCTCTCTCTCTCTCCTTCTTTCGCTCGCTCACTCGCTCGCACGCCTAAAGTCGACGTAATCCGTAGACTGGTAATTTAATTTACAGACTACCCGGGCTGCTCTCGAGTCTATTTTGCCATCAAGTCGAGTACTTTCTTCCCGGATGAAAAGCGTGTGAATCAGCGTGCCGGCACGCAGCGGTGATGTCAATCTTTGCTCAGCTGACTGACGAGATCGAGGCCTCACCTTCGTCGGCGCATACGAAGACGATCTTTTCCCGGCCTCGCATTCTTTCGCGCCGGTGTAAACGCACGACTTCACGCTCGCCAAGACGCCGGCGAGAAGGCGCGGCGACTGTGAACGGTGCATCTCTCCTCGCGCACACCTCCGTACGTCCCGTGCTGATGTTATCGCGTTGCTCTGAATCTGTCCGTTATGAAATCCCGAAGATTTATGGCTATCAACTGTCAACTTCGGGGGTCGGCTTTGCTCGTGATGTTGATATTTTTCCAGAATATCACCGTCATTGTACCGTTTTAGAACGCGCGATATGCGCTTTTAGGCTGCAGTTGTTTCGCAACCTACATTTTACGGAGTATGAAACGTTCGTAAAAAAGAGACTGTGAGAAAATTATTTTGCGCAAAGAGCGAGCTACAATTTCACGCTTAGCTTGCGTTGTTATGCCAACGAATATTTAGTTTATTGCGAAAATATATAGCGCAAAATTTGCGAATCGATGAATTTCATTGCGCCATGCACTTCGAAATTGCCCGCTTTGAATTTGAAAGCCCAATTTTGCCGAAGCCAAAGTTTATATCATTTTTCGACACATTATTATTCGCGCAAACTTGAGTTATGATATTTCCTTCCGCGTTACCAGCATCAATTTCCGCCGAACGGCGATGCCAGCCAGTCAAGAATTTACGCACAATATTGCGCGATTGCGTTTCCGATTATCGAATAAATATATTCGCAGACGAGTCTCTAGGGTAAACCGTTTTTCATATTTTTCACGACGAAATGCGCAATGCTCATATATGTATATATATGCGTACAGCCTCACGCCTCGAATGTACGTCACTTTGCCACCCCGTGACCGACAAATTCCACGGCGACTGAATCATCGAAATAAAATATCATCGATCGCCATTCGAACGTCAATCTTCACGACTCCATTAGCAAAGAAGAGCCATGCTCTTATTTGAGAGTCGTGACGCATCGACGATGAATTACACGCGAGTCATGTGAACAGCCGTTACACGTGCATTTGTAGGAATGCGATAAGACTTCGTTCAGATTAAATTTTTGGCATTAAAAAACGAACTTTTTATCAACGCAAATTTTATTTTCTTATTCAATCAATATTGCGTAACAATACAAATCGTGAATTGTGAGTTGAAAGTTAAGATTATAAGAAGTATGTAAATTAAAAGTTTAAAGTTTAACAATTTATTGAGACTTGAGATTTAAAGATCATAATTTGAGACTTTTTACTAATTTATATCCATTGTATTGTGGTATGCAAGTTCTACCACGTACAATATAGAATCTGTTTTTTTTTTTCTTCACGAGCGTCATGATTCGCGCTTCGAAGTCGGCCGAGTTATTTCACTCGCCCTCGTGTCCCGCATTTCTCTTCCCGACGCGGCAACAAAGTATCGAAGTAATAAAGTTCCGAGCTACACAATCGCCGAGATTAATATCCCACGTTCGTCGCAGCGGCGTTTTCCTGTTGCTACCAATTGGCAGCCGGTATTACACAGGCGCGACGACCACCGGCGGTCGGCTATCACTGAATCGCTTGCGTAACGACGTTAAATCATTGCACCGCGGCGATCAGGACGCACGCACGGAACAGACGGGGAAAAAAAATGCGAGGGCGCGAAAAATGAAACGAGGGATAGACGCTGCATTAATTCTGGCCGTTACACCCGGCGTAGACTTCGATAAATCTCGATCTCGTTTCGCGCCGAGATGGAAATGCAACCCACGTGTACCTACGTCGCTCGATTTCAAACTCGCTTCGGCCGTACTCGCGGCGATTTAACGCGCGATATATCGTCTCTACGTGTTATTCTGTTACGTGGATATCCGTAAGGTACACAGCGATGATAAATACGGTACATATGTAAAGCCGGTTGATATTGAAACATGGAGTAAAAGAACATTTTCCTTCGTTCGCGAGCTTGGCTTGCTACGAGAAAATAATTTTCGATATTTATCGAAGCGCGGTTACCTCACATTATTTCGGTATATTTTAACATTGATAAATTCTTTTAAAAAATATTTTTGTTCTACATTTTTTAAATTTAGATATACATTTTGCGTATGGATTTAATTTGCGATAATTCTGTGGCTGTCAGTGCACACAGCATACGGGTTTTTTTAAACACAAATTTACAAAGTGCCTTGAACAAAAATTGCACAAACAATTCTTTTGTGCGAGCGAGATACATTTGGGTGGTCACTATTCTGCGTTATATGTTTTTAGAGGAGCTGTTATATACGATTGCGTGTATAATTTCGCATAGGTCATATGCCAGTTATACACGCCGCTTTTTAATTACATCGGCTTTAAAACATTGTGCAGCGCAGGAAGCACATGACAATCGCTTTGACGAGAATATATATTTCAATCGTGCGATTTCGCCTATTTTTCCTTCGCCAAACGACTATTCTTAAACGAATATAAATTTTGCAGATTTATGCAAAAAAAGAGACAAAATTCTAACATTTATTTTACAATGTTTTTCTTTTTTTTTTTTTACATCGCAGAGAATCCTTACGTAATCTTTTAATCCCTTTACAACTTGAACATCAGTACCGGTAATAAATTCATCGCGCCGTTACAGAATTATGAGCGACAATGTAATATCGGGAAGTGTGGGTTTTTTTTTTCTCGGCGAAAGTTCGCTCGCCGCGATTCGACGGCCTGCCGTCGGGACAATTCACGGGATGAAACTCGCATTTCCGCCGAATCGATAATACCGCGATCGAGCCGCGTACGTACCTACGTTTAATTAAACTGCCGCCGTGATGGTCACGCGCACGTCTCCGTGGAAACTTGGGCAACTGGGGCGAAAAGTGCAAGGACAGATAGTAATACGATTAATAATTTATTCCAGGCACGTCGTTCGGCGAGTCGGCGGCGCTGAGCGACCAGGAGCAGCTGACCGAGGAGAAAGAATCGAGACGGAACGACGACGGTTGGCAGAGCGACGACGAGAGGACCGCGAAGCGGATCGCCGGCTGGTCAGGTAAGAGAACCTGTTGAATTAACGTCAGCCCCCTCTAGCGCGCCGAACCTCTCCTCCCCCCCCCCCGTCTGTTCCCTAATTCGCACCGCGCGAGTAGAACAGTTATTAATTTTAACGAGCGCGATGCGTAATGCAACGCCGATTGTGCGCGATCGAAAACAGCCGCGTTGATGCGCATTATTCTCGCGGACTCGGAATGCCGCGGCGTCGCGCGGTGTTTCCTCTGTAATTACCGTGTCTGTCGATCACGCTGCTCGCTCACGTACGACGTTTCCGCCGATCAACGTGCCCGTCGTCCGTAATTGAAATTGATCGGGAATTAACGTCGCGCTTTAAAAGCGACGATTTTCCCGGGAATAAAACTTGTTGACGCGCGCGGCCGACATCGGAAACGGGAGGAGAAATGATGGGAAAGATTTGGAGGGAGATAACGCGCGCTCCGCCGAATTAATCGGCATTCAAATATTTGGCGATCAAACTGAAACGTCGTAAACTATCCGCAACGCGGAGCAATGTGGATAATTTTAAGTTTGAAGAAGCGCGGAAAATCGCGTCTTGTAGCACGGGCAGCGCATATTCGTGCTGCGAGAGCAAATATTTCTTCGGAAATAATATTGTAGAGATTTAATCCCATATCGGAAACAATATTTATTGTTTGACTTATTGTTAGCGAGTAATGAGCGCATGTGGGGAGTTCACAAATGCATAATCGCGAAGTTTCACGTGCGGCGAATGTGGCGCGCTGAGGTCGCGCGGAAATGGAATATTCCGCTTCCTTAATTTAATTACCTGTTTTGGGTGAGCCGCGGGCGAAATCGTTTACGAAATTTTCGACGCTATCGGAACTTTACGCGGCGGCGGCGGCGGCGGCGGCGGCGCCGCTGCAAGCCGCCCCCTCTCCTCCGCGCGATGAGCCCGAACAATAGTGATTTTGGAAGTACGATAATGCGCGCGCGACGTAAGAATATCCGCGTTAAAGAAGTATCTCGCCGTGAAGCGCCATCGATTGTTTTGTCAGTGCGGCAGATTTATGCGAGTTGAGTAGGTATCGTTAGTAACTATCGATCCTGTGTCCCACAAGTAGAATAACTAAAACTCCGAACATCAGCGTAGTAAACTTGCCACGGAGAAACTTCCCATGAACGAAGCCCGGCTGCAAAATGTATGACGGCATGTAACTTCGCAAAATGTTTCCAATTATTAATAATATTCGCAACTATTCGCGCTTGTATGTCTGAAGTAACGGCACCGCTAATGATCAGTCTCTCATTAATAAATCAGATCGCGTTATATTATGTTGAAATTATAGGCAACTCAAATAGCGAATATCAATGCTATTATTAATATAAATTATACTCATTAGTAAACTAATTGAAACACGTATTTACATAATGCTGCGAGTGTCAAAATGCGATAAATAACAATTAAATGGCCATTTGTCTGGCATCGGATGTATTTTGTTTCTCCTGTGAAATATCAAGCAGAATATTCAAATGTTGCAGAATTACACGCTTCAATTGTGCTAAACACTTAATATAGAAACGGCGGGAAGTAACGGTGCGATTTACAGAATCGAATTGACCGTATCGCGCATATTTGGCTCTTCCGAGTCTCGCGCGTAACTTTAGTTGCGAGTGTGGGGTCAGTGACTCGGCACCTTTCGGGAAATCGTTTAAATTCGAGTGGCTGCACTAACGATATTTGACTTCATGCCAGTGTAACTACGAACAAACATTCGCATCGGCTTTCAGCCGCGATTATGAATTCTCCTCCAAAAGCTGCACGAATAACATTTCTCTTCAGTTTAACCGTGGCTCGCTTCTTCAAACATCGCGTCGCCGTGACACGCGAATTTTCCCGTAGCTGTAGCATTAATCCGCACCGCGCGGTGCCAAATTTGAATTTACGGACGGCCACAGCGAGTATCGCGCAAAGCGGCGTGCGATAACCGTTGCATTGTGCATCGCGAGATACGCGACGCCGCGCGCCCGTGTTACGGCGCGGCGAAAATATTTCGGCAAAATATATTTCGCCTCCCGAAGAATATTACTCGCGAATTTATCGCACACGGGTGACAAATTTTTACGGCACCGTTTGGCCCGGAAACGTTT